GCATCCAAGAGGAATTGCTGTAGTGCAGGCTGAGCCAGACATGCCTCCAGCAGAGGCTGGGAGCAGGGCTGGTGTCAGTGCCAAAAGCAGTGTCCAGGGTCAAACAGTTTAGATAGGGCTGATCTTGCCGTGGTGTGATGTGACCTCCTGCCAGCCCTATTTTTCTGTGGTTTTAATATAAAAAAATCAGGCCGGACATCTTTCCATCTGTATCATAGGCCCCCAGTCCTGAAGCTCCAGGGATCCTGCAGTTTCTGTGCAGGCGGGAGTCTCGTGGGTTTTGCTGGGATTTTGCCTGGGAACGTACTGCTGTAGAAGGGTCCCAGGAAGCAGATTTAGCAAACTGAGATCCTAAGCCAAAGTCCCATCTGAGAGGATCCCAGGCTTGGATAGTCACATGCTTGCCTAGATGCAAGCACACAAAGCTGCTGGATCCTCTGAGCAAGGGCAACAGAGTTTATTTTGCCCCCTAAACCACTTACAGTTGCAGCTACGTCTCCCCTGCCCAAGGGCATCCAGCAGGTCTATGAGATCACTGCAACTCTATAGGGATTTGCTAACCCCCAAGGAGCAACCCAAGGGCTGGCAGAAGCAATCTGGATTAACATGCCTGCCTCTTATTTGCTTCAATCTGTCCCCCATCTTAAAAAAATCCCATTTCCTTCTAGAATTGCTGATCTTTTCCCCTTTCTCTTTCATTTCTAGGCTAACTGGATGTACTGTTTATGATGCCTGCCTGACCCCTCTAAGACTCTCTCCACCCTGGCTTGCAGCCCTTGCACTCCTCTGAAACCACTTTTGTCCATCTCTTCCGAGCCAAACTCCATCCTCATTCTCTCTGACCCATCAGCTTCCTTCAGTGCAGCTAACCCATGGCCTTCTTGACATCAGTTCTTTCCTGGCTTATTTGGCTCCATTTTTCCTGGTTCTCCCACTTTCCAAATGGTTCCATCAATTGTGTCCTTTGATGGATCTTCCTCATACTCAATCCAGTTTTCTTTGAGGATAACTATGTCTTTGCTCTGCTTTCTTTCTCCATCTGTGCTTTTTCTCTGAGAAATCTTATCTACAAATTCAACAAGTGTTTCCAGGAGGATGACTTGCAGATCTGCCTTTCTACTCCCAATCTGTCTCCGGTCCATACAAACATCATCACTTGCATCTTCATGGGCGATCTCAATTTCAACATGCCTAAAACAGCTCTTCAGCTCCCTCACCAAAACTCTCCTTGATTCCTCCTCCTCCTCCATTAATTTAGGACAACATCACCATCCTGTCTATCACTCAGAACTGCAACCCAGATACCACTTCAACTTGGATAGCTCTCCTGGTCCTCATGTGCCGGCTACATTGAGGTCTTGCAGTTTTATTCAGCATATCATAGCTATAATAAAGTCTTCCATAATCATTCACGCTGCTGAAACTCTCATCTGGGCTGTCATTTCACATCTCGATGCTGCATAGGTATCTCTGGCTGTGGCAAAAGTATTCTTATCCTACTGCTATCCATCCAGAAAGGATACCACAAAGATTGTTTTCCAAGCTTATTGCTCTAAGCATCTCTTCCTGTGTGTCCCTCCAATCACTTCCTCTTTTATACTGTATCCAATACAAGTGGAGTGGCTTTAAAATTCCTTTTGGCACATCCCAACCCTACTCATCATCTTGTTCTCTGTTGAGAAGCTGAATCCCACCTCTACACAGCCGACAGTGCCAGTCCTCATCATCCACTTGTTAATTCAAACAAGCACCTTCATGCTGTCTCTGAGGCTGTCCCTCATGCTTGGAAGTTATCCCCATGCAAAGACTCGTAACACTTAAAAATCAGCCATGCTAATTCAGCCTTTAGGGTCCATGGTCACAAATCCATCCTAATTACATTTCTAAAAAGCCCAAAGAACAATGAAAAACTGTACAGTACAAGTCCCTCAGCTCCCTCGGTACAATACAGCTCCCTTGTTACACTTTGTTATACAGGATTCATCCAGTTAGCCCATCTATCATGGACAGCACAGGCAGTACCTTTTGGTGAGCTGGACAGGAAGCCAGCATGGTTACCTTGGATAAGCAAACAAATGCCATGAATAGATAATAAGCAAAGCTCTTAGTGCAAAGCTTACCATGTTAGATGTGCCATGGGGCAGAGAGAGCCTAAAGCTTTATTATCATTTCTACTCCTGGTGTGGATGATGGCATATGTGATAGAAAGGTACATGTCATTGGCCTCTTCTCAGCTCAGATCAAGTGTAGTCCTATGCTTGCCTAGCAAGGGAAACACCGTGGCCATGGAAGTGGTCTTCCTAGTTGCTCCCGGGGAGACCGTTCTCCTGGCATGGGGATAGTACCTGCTAAGGTGATGTATAGTAAACCTCCCACTTAGCTGCTGGAGTGGGAAGGTCTTGGCTTTGTGCCCACTTTTTGGAAATGGGAGACTCCTCCTTAGCTTGCTTCTTGGGGCCGTATGGCTGGGGGCAAGCGAAACTTGTGGGTGTCCGAGCCCCAAGTCTCCAGGCTTGGGCCTGCAAGGAGGATGCCCACCAAAAGTTTTGGAAACATCTGAAACCCCAGATAGGGGTGGAGGATGTTTGCTGGCAGTAGGGCCACTTACGGTTCTGGACTGACTCATGGATTTGGAATTTGTTTGGGCTAATTTCGCTTGGAATACGGAAAAAAAATGTTATCATTGCCGACTATGCAGCTTGCTGGCTTTGCATTGCTCTCACCAGGTGGTGGAGTTTGTCAGTAATCTTGCTGGCTGCTCTTTAAAACGCCGGGTGGCTGTAGGGAATGTCTTCAGATAGACCATGGCTTGTGTGCAGGTAAATGCCTTGGGGACAGTTCTCCCTCTTGACATTTGCTGGGGTGATACAGTGATGGAAGTGGTGGAAGGACCACACAGTAACCAGGGGCAGATCAGGGAAGGGAAATAGTTTGTGCATGTGCAACAGGGCTGTGTAATCGTGTCGTTCGATCACATTGTCCGTCTCTGAGAATCCTTTCTGCTTCTCCTTCTAGAGAATCCTGAGCGTGCTGCCCTGTATTTTGTCTCTGGAGTGTGCATCGGCCTGGTGTTGACTCTGGCAGCCTTGGTGCTGAGGGTGTCCTGCCGAACAGACTGCAAACAATCCCCGGTGAAAAAGCCCACCCGCGATCGGGAGAGCGACAGTGACAGCAGTGACAGCGACGACGACTCGGACACCACGTCAGACCTGTCAGCTCGCAGGCACCGCAGGTTCGAAAGGACTTTGAACATGAATGTCTTCACTTCAGCAGAGGAGCTGGAGAGGGCTCAGAGGCTGGAAGAGCGGGAGCGCATCATCCGGGAGATATGGATGAATGGGCAACCAGATATTCCAGGGACCAGGAGCCTGAACCGTTATTACTGAGTGTTGGGACATCCTATGGGCTGGGACTGCAGCCTCGGTCTTCTCTGAGTGTGCTCAAGAGGGAAGGAGGAGTGGACTGGAGTCCTCCTCCCCTTTTGGTTCAGAACAGCTAACAGGAGCACTATGGATGGACAGCAATAAAGCTTTCACCTTCCACTGTCCCCTGACCTCTTGCTATTGACACCTAGGAAATACACCTTTACCCTTGTCTTGTCTCTCTGATATCTCCCTTCAGCGGAGGTGAATGCCAACTTCTTCTCTCGCTGTTGTTCTGCCATAGGTGGGAGGCAAGTGTTCAAAACCTCCCATTTCTAGGAAGATGAATCCAGCATGCAACGGTACGGATGCTGCTCATGTGGTTGGGAGAGGAATTGCTGGGTGTTTTGATTTCCCAAGAATTTCAGGAGAATCATGAACAAACCTCCTTGAGCTTATGTGTCTGCTGCAGCAATGATGCTATGGGGTGGGAGCAGCAAAAGCCTGAAGTGCAACTGTCTTGTGACCCAGGAAACCATGAGATTAACCTAGTTAAAAATGTGACTTCAGGAGAACCGGGGATTCTTCCACCACCTCATCTCGGTGCTCGGACATTTGACAACATATCTGTTATTTAAGGCGGTGTTTTAAATTTGCTTTTCAGTGGCAGCATTTTTTACTGACACCTCAGGGATAAAATCCTATTATTTTTTTGAGTACGCTTCCCCCTTCCATCCACCGCAACCAACCCAACCCACTCCCAACAGTGAAACTATGGTATTACGAGAGCTGTGTCAGTGATGGGTGTAATGTTATCAACCTCAAAGAGGTTGAAAGGGGTTTTGTTTTAAATATATATTTGAAGATGCTGCACAGCAATGTGCCTTATTCTTTTTTGTTGTTAAACTCTGATTTTCCTATGGATGGTGATGCGCAATATTTTATATATTTTATTACGAAAAAAAAAAGTTTGTATTTGCCAGAGGAGAATGGGGACAAAAAGAGGCCAAATATGACAGCAGGATGGGAAATAAATGCTAAATAAACTCTGCATTGTGATCTCTGTTTTAATTTGGTTCCCTACTGCCTCTGGCTTTTGCTGCAGTAAGAAACTTTGGAATAGCAACAAGTTTTGCTGCTATTCAAGGTTAATGCAGATAAATCCTGGGAATGTCTTGTACTCCCTTGAACTGTGCACACTGTTTCCATTGTTCCCAGTTTCGGTGGTGAGCACCTTCATGAGCCCATTAGCAACAATGGAAACATACTCATTGATTTCAAGATGCTTTGAACACAGCCCAAACACTCCTGTGCTTGAGAGTGTCTTATAGCAACTGTTAAATGAATAAAAACACTTCAGAAAAGTGCCCTCCCCACATACCATTCATTAGCACGTTGGTACAGGCTGGTTGTTATTATCTGGCTTGGGTATGCCTTCATTGCAAAATTACCTGGGGCTCAAACTTTTATGTTACCCACACATGAAATCCTCCCCAGTGAGTTTAGTGGTGCATTTGGTGTGGGCTAACTGGTCCAGTTGGAGCAGATCATTTCCCAGGTGTGGAGACTTTGTGCTGTTTTCACTGGGGCCCCAGACAGACATTACAGGTAATATGGGCTGAGTCTGTTAGTTGCATCTTAACTAGTAACCTGATCACATGTTCAGGGAATCAAAGGCACCACAGAAAGGGAAACTAGCCAAAAAAAAAAAAAATATCCAAAAACAGGTGACATTTTTGGTGTTGGTTTCCATCGTGCCTTAAATTGAACACACGGTAGGGTTAGGACCACACCAGGGTCTCAAACTGGCCCTGGTGTGATGTCTGCTGGCCAATGATCAATTAAGTTGGGCACTCAGCTTTCAATTTGTTGGGGTAGGGGGAACTCAAGGTCATGATCCCTTTGCACTGGCAAGTGGGGTGCAATTTGGATCTTCTTGCCAATCCCAAAATCATGTGTCCTGTCATGCATGTGTGGCATGGCAAGAAGTGTGATGGTAGGAATCGGAAATCAGATCCCATCCACCGGCAGCCTGGGGCAGACAAATCATCCACTGGGCAGTAGGTGCATCGGGTCAGTCCTTCAGTTCATTCCCACACTTCCCCTCTGCATGCTAGGAGGACAGGTGAGTCCCTCCTGACAATTCATTGGGAAGGATCATAAAGCTGCATCAAGGATCATACTGCACTGCAAAGAACCATGGGGTGCACCCTCAGAGGTCACAGCAGCAGGTGACTGCCACATCAGTGAGGCAGTGAGGATGCTAACTCCAGTCGAGCTTTGCAGTGTGGCTAGTCACACTCAGGCCAGGCTAATACGGGTACTCATCCCTGTGTGAAGCTGCCTGAGTTAACCTTGCAGTGAAGACATACCCAGGGAGGATGGTCTAAAGCACCTAAGTGACTAAGGGTGTGACTACACTGAAAGCTAGTGGCACCACCAATGTTGCTATCAGGCTCAGCCATGACTTGTTCTTTCCTATTTGCATAGCAACAGGTAGCAGACCCCCGCACATGGCTGCAAGACACATCCCATGCTCCTTTGCATCCTGCAAAGTGGAGTCTATGTAGCAGTCATAAAATCATAGAAGTCAGGTCGAAGGGACCTTGTAGATCTTCAAGTCCGATCCCCTGCCTGGGCAGGGGAAAAAATTGGGCTCAAATGACTCCAGCCAGGTAGGCATCAAGCCTCCTCTTAAAAACCCCCAGGGTAGGAGCCAGCACCACTTCCCTTGGAAGTTGGTTCCAGCTCCTAGCCACCCTGACTGTGAAGTAGTTCTTACGGATGTCTAATCTAAACCTACTCTCCAACAACTTGTGGCCGTTATTCCTTGTTATGCCAGGGGGCGCTCGGGGAAACAAGGTCTCTCCCAAACCCTTCTGGTCCCCCCTAGTGAGTTTATACACGGTCACCAGGTCCCCCCCCTCAGCCTTCGCTTGTGAAGGCTGAACAGGTTCAGGTCCCGTAGCCTCTCCTCGTAGGGCCTGCCCTGCTGTCCCCTGATCATGCGAGTGGCCTCCTCTGGACCCTCTCCATGTTGTCCACATCCCTCCTGAAGTGGGGCGCGCAGAACTGGATGCAGTACTCCAGCTGCGGCCTGACCAGTGTTGTGAAGAGGGGGAGGATAGTCTGAGGGCTACTTGTCTTTCCCAAGACATTGCTGCTCCTAAACCCCATGGGTGTATTTGAGCAAGCTACCCTAAAGGCATGTCTGTACTGCTACCTAGGGCTGTTCCTAGGCCTGGCTTCTAGCCCAAACCATGTGACCGTTCACATTAAAAGCTTGCTCATGGCAACTTTTCACACCCCCGGGCCTGTGGAACGTGGTGTGAGGCTAGGGTTCCCTCTATCCCCTCCCTTTGCAGATCGTGCTATACCCCGCCCCCCCTCCCCCCCGCCAAGTGGTGTAGGGGCCTAGCCCAGGAAATTTTGCTAGCACCTGGCATCTGGTTCTTCTGTACCCAAGGGCTCTGCTGTCTGTAATTGCAGCCAAGCACAGGAGGGGAGAGAAGTAGTTAGGCGAGTGATTCCTAGAAGGGGGTTGTCGGTTCCTCCTGCTACTTGTGTCTCCCTCTGTGCTTGTTGTGCAGCTCTGGCAAGAGAAATGTAGGCAGGATGGGGCAGCTCATGAGGCGCTGGCTAGGTAAGGGCAGCCTTCCCAGTGCACCCCAAATGGTAGCCCCTTCTGAGGGCATGAGGCCTCTGTGCGACATGCCAATAGTGCAATCACCTGTTCACTTGCTCAGACAAAGCACTGGGCCCTCCTAATTCCCACTGGATCGCTGGGGACCAAAGGCATACAGACCCTTTCAGCAGGCACTTGCCACATTACGGGGTTGGGCCTAGAGTACAAGGATGTAGTGTTCATGCTGGGCAACACACTAGCTCAAACACTGTGATCATGGGACCCACATCAGTAGTATACATAGGGGTTGGCATCCTGTCTGCTAGTTAAAGTACTGAGTGTTGTAATGAAGTCCCCTGGCCCCCACTCCATATCTAAGGTCCTTGGTTAGCATGGAGTAAATGGCCCCTTAAAGCTATAGGTCTGGCTGTACAAAGATGGAGGCAGGAAGATATTACCTAGTGGCTTCCTGGTTATTAAAGAGGCTGGAGGTCTCTGTGCAGCGAGCTGTGCTGTATTGCTCCTAGCAGGGCTGGGGTGCTGCAGAGCACGAGGGCAAAGGCACTGCTGAGTCAGGCCGTTGAGTACACACAGTACAGCGTGCACGACTGTCGGCTTATTGGTGACAGCACAAGTGAGGAGCTGACTCTTGTGGCCCTGGTGGATGAGCAAACTACCAACCAGCCTGCGTGGTGTCCCGCACACGGTGTAAAATAAGCTTGTCTGTGGGCTGTGTAAGCCTCAGATGAGAACTCCTTATTCATTGGACTAGGACTGTTAAGCCAATGAAATGATGGCCATGTAACTGGAGATAATCACGCTTTATCTTAATTCACTCATTTAAGAGAGTGTTTTTTAAAGGGTGGAGGAGGCAGTCTGACCCTGATAAGCGTGAGCAGCGTCTGCAACATCTCAATTTACACAGCAGGCCAAGACTATCTGCCTGTGATACGTGCCACCATTTGGAAAGACAGCAGAAGCTTACTTGGTGCCAGTAAGATCCTTGATGCGTCTTTCCGCCGGGGGTCAGTCCTTCAGCTCATTCCCACTTACGCTGGCATCCCAGTTTCTAAGCACAGACCTCTTACGCAGCGTTGTGCTCGATGTACCCTGAAAATCGAGGTAATGTGATGTTTGTTGCTTTTCCCATGTCTACCCTGGTGTTAATATCCGCGGAGAATTCCACCAAGTTAACGAGGCATGGCTTTCCCTTCCTGAAACCGGAGTGGCTCTACTTAACCCCTTGGCTGCCATGCTTCTTGGTGCCCCAGGGGCTACATAAATAAAGCAAGCCCCTGTTTAGCTCTCGGGACATCCCAATGTAAATCATATGCTCGCAGAGCTGCGGGGATATGAATTTCCTGTTTTGTGGCATGGGCATTTTACAGTTTGAGGCACCTTAAGAAGTTAACCACATTATACTTTCCTCCTGTTCCTACTTGTTACTCAGGCTTCCTCCACAGTGAATTCATAACAGTCTGACCGGAGCTGTTCATGTCCTTAGGCAACCTGAAAATCCAAAATTGCTAGATATTATCAGAATGGCTTAGATTTGTCTCCTTGCACTTTCCCTGCCTCCCCCCTGCCCCCGTCTTCATATTCAGTGTGTTTTGACTCGAGACTTAATCATGTTTCAGATTAAGTTCCCCCTCCTTCCTTCCAACGCCACCCTAAATGGCTTTCCTTTGTGGCTTTGGTTAATGCTGTGACTAAAGCAAGTGCTGTAGCAAGCATATATATATAGAGAGAGAGGGAGAGAGAGAGAAAAAGAGAGAGAGAGAGTATGAACAGGCTCCCTCTTTCTGAGAGAAATCTGTGGCTGTGAAAATGGCCAAACGCAGAGCAATGGAGCCTGAAATCACTGATCCATAGAGCAGAT